TTTGTTCTCACTGCTGATCCTTTTTAGCTTCGCGAGATTTTTGCGATAACGTTATTTTCTAGTTTTGAGTGTAAACCTCAAGCGTTGCCTGATATCCTCATCGCTACTATTTACTGCTGTACGTTCACTCATGTTTTATTGAACCCAATAATCATAACCATAACAAAATTCTCAAATCCTTTTCATTACTAAAGTTCAACACTAAAATAACTTGTACTTTATGATATTGCCTTAACGGAACGATTCAAAGGGTTTTTATGGGACACCTCACTAATGGGTCAAAACAGGAAGATGCAATTAGGCGATGAACCATAGCGAGGGACATCGCGTTGTTTAGATGTAGACAGGCCGTGGCAGCGTCCCTTAAGGAATCTTCGAATTCGGCCTCGTCGTAGAATCAACTTGAAGAAACGTTTTCTATTTCTCGTCCGTCAGGAGATTACCTGCAACCAGATACTATTGTAATTCAGAGCAATCCCTTGCCTACAGCCGTTTAGCTTCCTATTCTAATCCAATATTTCGACATCGAACTGCCTAATTGTGAACGCTAAGAAAATTTAGAAGAAACTTAAATAAAGAGGTAAGTAACTCTTTGTGTTTTTGCTTTTCGCTTTGCCACGAAAGTGTAACGCTTCAGGCAATTAAACTGATCGAATAAAGTGTAAACAGGAGCCCCTGGTAAAACTCCCTTTCTACCGGAGTGTCTGATATCAAAGTTTTGATTTGGATTGAGCCAAATCTTTAAAGAAATGACGCGCAACGTTATAGCGACTATTGCCCGGCCCTTGCAACTGTCCGCCGGCCTGGGCTGTTCCTGGCGTTGGTGGTTCTTGAATGGAAACCGATGGAATTCACCAAAGGCTGTTTTCATGAATTTTTTTTTCGACTTTTTATGAAAAAGTATTGTTCTACAAAAGAATTTGACCGTGTGTCGGTCTAATATTGTACCCCATATAATCATATTTGATGATCTTTGTTGCCCTTAATAGTGGTAGTGTGCTGTAATTAGAATGAAAACCCTTAGCGAACAGATATAATGCGACGCCAAGAGAGAAAGAAAGGAGAAACATAAAAGCGATGAATCTTTTTTAAGCCAGAAGCTATTGCGCCTTATTACTAAGCCCTTATTACTCTTTTAAAGAGATAAAAAAGAGAACACTTCTAAGAAAAAAAAGTCCAGATGTCCTAGATTGAAAAGCTGCTATTTTGTGTTGGTGACGAAGAGACACCACTTGAACAGATTAAAGAGACTGACTCGTAGCTGCTGCATCCGCGGAAGAACTCTCTCCTTTCGACTTTTTATGAATAAGTATTGTTCTAGAAGAGAATTTGACCGTGTGTTGGTCTAATATTGTACGCCATAATAATCATATCTGATGATCTGTTACTTTTAGTAGTGGTGCGCTGTAATTAGAATGAAAAACCTTAGCGAACAAATACAATGAGACGCCGAGAGAGAAAGAAAGGAGAAAGATAAAAGCGATAAATCTTTTTCATGCCAAAAGCTAATTTGCGTCTTATTACTAAGCCACTATTACTCTTTTCATGAAAGATAAAAAAGAAAACACTTTTGAGAAAAAAAATTGCAGATGTCCTAGCTAGACAAGCTGCTATTTATTTGTGTTCGTGACGAAGAGACACCACTTGAACAGAACAAAGAGACTCCAAGTTGCCACAACCGCGGAAGAACTCTCCTACATTTATAGTACTGGTAGAGTACTTCATAATGATTCTACCGGAATCGCACTTTTCATTATATATCATATATTAGAAGAGTTTTGATCATCTCTGTAATATATTACCGAAAAAGAAACAAGGAATTGTGCTTGAAAGAAAAATATTATATATAATATCTCCCTGCCTTAAATGCCCGAGAATAGTGATCGCGCGCCCCTTCAAAGGGTTGATGTTTTGATCTATGGTCGCTGTCTGGACAAATGGAGTAGCTTGGAGTACAACCTAACTGAATCGATTAACTGCGTATTCCTCTCTATCAAAATGGACTAAAGAGCCGTACATGTTTCGAGAGTTAACAAATAAATAGAAACTAAGTGATGTTAGCGTTTATGAGCAATCTGATTGGTTCGCTATCTCGATCTAAAATATTAACAGCACTTGGCGGTGAATGACGGTCAATTTAAAGCAAACAAAAGACTTTATTGACGGTACTCGCCATCTTTACACACGCATAAGGACTGATGGGATAAATGTAATGTCACTTGGTTTCTCAGGGGGCAAACAAGCGATAAAATCTGCCAATACAAGAAATCGCGGTTTTTTTCAATTTTCTCGCGAAAATAATGATGCTTTCGTTTATTTCCATATGCTCATCCGGATCGTCCGGATCGCCCCAGTCGTTTCAAAATATTTCGAGACTATCGGGACGACTGGGGCGATTGGTTGTTTCCATATGATTGTCTCGATCGCCTCAAAGGCAAGAAACGCGGGGTCGCCAGCTGTGTCTCTGGGTCAGACAATAGAATTTTTGCGCGTGTTTTGCAAACAAGCCACATAAATGGATGATTTTTATTCGTAAAGCGAACCTCGTACCTTGGTATCTGCTTTTTCTCTTGATTTTGCGGCATTGAGAAGCTAGAAGAGCTCCCCGAAGACATAGTATCTCTTCGAAAACTTGATGTAACGGACTTTCTCTAATTTCAAATAACCCCCATACGCTCTGCGAACATTTGTGTATTACTTTTTCGGCTTCACCGCCATCCGGGCCGAATTTATTCTCGATTACTGGAATAAAAGTGATGACTTCTGGGATAGTCTTCGATCGTCCCGATCGTCTCAGTCGTCTGAGAGCGTTTCCATATGATCCGCTTCAAAATTTACACGATCGTCCCGATCGTCTGGATAGAACTCAACTCTATCCAAGCGATCGAGGTCGTCTCAGTCGTCCGGGTCGTTTGCAGTCGTCTGGGTAGCGTTTCCATATGATCGTCCCGATCGTCTGAACATTTTTTGAGACGACTGGGACGATCGGGATGATCGGGACGATCATATGGAAACCAGGCTTTTGGTCGAAAAATGAACGCCGGGGGCCCAGACTTTGCTATTCGCCCAAGTGATCGGTTGATTCAAAGGAATAAGATAATCTCTATCTTTGCGTACACCTATCCAGAGCACCTCAGTTTTCTGATGGTTGATTTTCAATCTAGATGATCGAGATTGCGAAAGTATCAAGTAAATAAAGGGTTCTAGAAAAGGAGAGCTCAGATCCGTCTAGAATCATTGTATCATCAGCATATTGTGAGAGTTTGCACTGAACGTTGGCAAAATTAATCCCACGATTATTTTCATCCTTCCTTGCTGCAGTGCCCAAGACCTCTGCACATAGAATGAAGAGATAGGAGAAGAGCGGTCACCCCTGTCTCACTCGATCCGCGATTCAAAAAAAAAAAACCTCTGAAGACTAACCATTGTTTTGGACACAACTGCTTATATTTGTGTAAGATCAGCCTAGTCCCAGGCGTTCTCGGCTCGGTCAAACCTAAACTCTACGGTGAGCTGTGACGTCACCGAGAGAGACTCGCCCACTCTTTCCCAGACTTCGCGCGGACAACGGGTCAAGAGAGAATGCCTAGGGACTAGGCGTAATAAGATAATTCAAACCACGTCACCAACGCCACGCCAAAGTTGAAATATTTCAAAGTTCTCTCAATAAAGGGCCATTCTATGCTACCAAAGGCTTTGTCGAAACCAATGAAAAGTATATAGAAGGCCAGGAATTTGTTTTGTATTTTCATACTTGATGATGCTTTCTAAGAGCCAGGTATTTTCCCCGATAGTTCTGTTTTTCAGAAAACTCGTTACACTCAGCTAGTTATACGCTCCATGGAAATTGAGAAACAGATTGCTTTCGATAATAATAACTTACCCTTCTTTAGGAAGAAATGGGCTATTTTCAGATAATGCAGCCAAATAGAGTACTAAAGTGTGACGTCATAAAAATGAAATTTCTGAAACTATGGGATTTGTCAGGATATTCTGAAAGAACAATGTCCAAGAGGCCTACTTGCCAAAAATGAGCATTTGGGGGCAAATTGTCTCTGAGATCGTAGCCCAGGTATGCTTACAAAACTCCATAAAAACCCTTCTAAATTTTTGTTGGGTCGACCCAAAAAAAAATTAGAAGGGTTTGTATGGAGTTTTCTGAGTATAACTGGGCTACGATCTCAGAGACAATTTGCCCCCAAATGCTCATTTTGGCAAGTAGGCCTCTTGGACATTGTTCTTTCAGAATATCCTGACAAATCCCATAATTTCAGAAATTTCATTTTTATGACGTCATCACTTTAGTACTCTATAAGGTGCAAGCGAGAAGGGGCAGATGGGGGAGGAACTGGACCAAAAAGGTAGGCAACCGTCTTGCGTGATTTTAGTCCTTTTGTGGACTAAATCTTTCTAATTTTTTTTTCCTTTCTCTCTTTTTTCCTTTGCTGTAAAATTAGTTATCTGTTTTAATGTAAGATAAATTTTAGTAACCGATAATTAGACTTAATTGTTTGTAAAATATAAAAGAAAAAAAAGTGGCGAGGAGACCTAACAGAAACTATAGGAGCCAGGGCTCCTGTAGGAGCTTTTAAGGGGTTAGGTCTCCTCGAACTACGGGCTAGAGCTGTTTCACATCAATTGAAGAAAAGATGGCGTAAAGTCAAAGGTGGAAAAGAGTTAAGATTGGTTTTCATATTTACTATATATATTGATTTCTTTAGTATTTTCTCAAAAGAATTATTATCATTACTATTATTATTATTACTATTATTAAGATCGACTTTATTTGAAATCAATAGTCAAGAAATATCAATACGTTTTTTCAATGGAAATGTTAATTTCTCTTGCCATATTAGGAATATTGTTTCCTCTTCCCAGCGGCTACAAAACATTGTCTTGAATACATTATGGACGTCGTCGAATGTCTTTGTAATTATGTTTTTGTGATTTTTCTGTCTGATTCAGCTTTCTTTTATAATTTTCACTTTCTTTTTTTCAAGATGATGGTCTCTGACGAAGAGAAACGATGGATTGTTGTGGGAATTGCTATGAACAAAGCTGTTGCTCCTGTTTTGCGAGATACTGTCAAACAAGGAATGGACAACAACTTTACAGATCTGGACAGACACTGCCAGCATCTGACCCCACCGTGTACCTTAAGGACATTAATTTATAGTGTTGTCCGAACAGATACTTTCTTCAGCAGCCTGAAATTTCAAAATATTAACAGCAATGAACTTGTGCATGGTATACGAAACTACAACTTCAACATTAACAACTCCGTAGATTTGGCTAAGTTGTACCTACCCGGGTATCTTGCTCAGTTCTCAGCCTTTGATGAGTCGCTGGACATGACTGCCATCCTTCGGCTTCTAGGATTCAAAAACTACATGCCTATACCTATGTTCTCCCCACACACCCAGGCTTCATCTGATGATGTCAGAGAAAATGTCAGAAACAAGTGGGGCCACGTGGATGTAACTGAGTGGACAAATGCTCTCTTCGATGATTGCTTTGTCAAGCTGGAAACACTGGTGAGAAGTCTAGGCTTAGCACCAGTTGTGGAAAGGAAAGTACTGGATGAGCTTGCTGATTGGCAAACAAAAGGTAATTACAGGCTGAAAAAATAGTAGACAAGTTCATTCTCGCTGAGCGAGCGGCCGTTAGGCCGCGAGCGAAGCGACTTTATAATTTTGTCGTGCGCGTAGCGCGTGTATCACGCGGGGATCGCCAGCGAACTGCGATTTCGCTTTGGTCATAAATCTTTCTATCGGTTTGGTATCCGCTGTTGCCTAGCAACAAGCCATAAACAAATCCTAAAGACGCCATTCAACATGACGTCATCGTGCATTTTGGGTCTCTAGGCAACACATGCAGCGACTTTGGCTCATTTTATTCATCCTCTGTTTAGTGTACGTTGGCAAATCGCAAAATATTTCTGAGGCCAAAAACCGCGGGCTGCAAACAAAACACTCCCCGATTGGACAAGTGGCTGGAAATCCTTGCAGTGGAAGGTTTAACACCGAAAGAACGGTGACCTGCACTTCAGCGAAAGCAGCGAAGAAGAAGACCAGTCCGTTAATCGAGCGGCCTATATAAAGCCAGAGAGTGATTAAACACGGAGATAATGCAAAATGGTTTTGAAATACTCATTTGAGCTATTTTTTCTCAAATGTATCTTTAAATTTATGATAAATATTGCTCCATAAGGTTCAAACAGCGTGAATGGCAGAGAAAGATACTTCAAGACTATTAATTTTCAAATAGAGGCGGCGCCGCGGTCGCATGGCCCAGTTGTTAGCGGCCGCACTTTTTTCGTCGTAGGAAGTTGGGATGCAGGTTCAAAACCTACCGTGGCTACCACCAGTATTTTTTTCTTTCATCGTTTTTTTACCCTCTGGCTTTTTACTGCTTATTCTCACTGCTGACCCCGTTAGCTTCGCGAGATTTTTGCGAAAACGTATTTCTAGTTATATAGGTATAGTATGCGGCAAAGGTAACCCAGAATAAATGTTGAAAAGAACCAAAAATCTCTAGTCAAAAGATGTTGATTACTCGTCTCATTATAGTTGCGTTGTTTTATACAAAGCTATGCCTACTCCTGATGCAGATGAAGGAACAGAAATAGAGTCCTCAACATGTTATAACGGAGTTCTGTCGAGGGTCTACAACAGGCTCAAAGCGGAATCATATAGCAGCATGTTCCAAAAGAGAACCAGATGGAGCATCGAATCAAATGTTCAGCGTGGAACAAATTTTTGGCGTACATACGGGTTAAACTTACTGATATTTTGTTTGCACTTACGCTTCAACATAACATCCTCTTAAATGTTTACAATTTTTTCTTCAAAATCAAGACAGTGTTATGCATGGTTATAGTTGTCACCCCAAACGACTCTAAATTTTCCATCTTAATTTTCTGCAGGTTGTCAGTTGATCATGGGACATGCCGTAGACAAAGATCTTCTCCATTTGGTACAAGATGAAGTGAGAGATCTTATAAAGGACTACCAAACCATCGAGTCACAAGTGAATCTGCAGAACAAACAGATTGATAAGGTTGAAGACGATGTTTCCATCCTTAAAGATCAGTTTTCAAGTCAAGAAGCCGGGTTTCTAAGCACCATGGAAAAGAAGCTACAAGAATTTGAAAAGAATAGAAGTGAAGAAATCGCACAGGTTTTGGAAAGGCTTTTGACATTCGAAGCACAGTTATCCATGCGACTTGAGTTGGTAGAAGTAGGGCTTGCTAAGACAGTCGATAATCTAGAACAACTGAAGCAAAGCCAAACCAAGACAGATGACAGAGTAGAACAATTAGAGCAAAGCCAAATTAAAACAAATGAAAGGGCAGAACATATAGAGCAAATCCAAACTAAGACAGATGATAGAATAGAACAGATTGAGCAAAGTCGATGCAAAACAGTTCACAGAATAGAACAACTGGAGCAAAGCCAAACCAAGACTGATGATAGAGTCGAACAAGTGGAACAAATCCAAACCAAGACAACTGATAGAGTAGAACAACTGGAGCAAAGCCAGACCAGGGCAGGTGATAGACTAGAAGAACTGGAACAAAGGTGTGACCAAGTGAAGCAAATTGAAGCAGAAGTGAAATGTTTAAAAACAAACAATAGCCAATTAGGTAAGCTTAGTTTGAGATCAAATTATTGGCCAAGTGTTTTTTAAATAGAGAATAATACATGGTCACGCGGAGATATGGAATTTATCTTCGAGTGTTCACATCGATATCAAACGAGTGAGCGCAGCGAACGAGTGAGATATCGAATGTGAACACGAGAAGATAAATTCCATATCTCCAAGCGTCCATGTATTATTCTGTTTATTATATAAACATACTGATGACGGCGTTTTTGATGATTTTCCGAAGATTTCCGACCACCTTCCGAAGATTTCTGAAGATTTTTCAAATTGTCCCGAAGTCCAGACGAACGTTCCCGAACATTTCCCGAAAATTTCCGAAAATTTCCGAAGATGTCCGAAGATTTCCGAAGATTGCCGAGCACTTTCGAGGAAGACCCGAAGATGTTTCGATGATACACCAACGAATTTAAGTACAATTTAAGAGACAAACCTGATGTCAGTGAAAATATCGATATCTTTACATGTAAAAATATCGTATTTTTACGTGTGTTCAGATACCACATTTCTCGGTGGTAGAAATCCTTGTAAAACACTGCAGTTTATATAATAAGTCATTTTTTTTAGCTACAAGGTGGTTATTGCCAGTGGGCTAGTACGTTGAGTTTCTTGAGCAGTAGGCCCCATGTTAATGGTCCGTGGAGAATGCACTGGGCAAAAAGCACTTATATCTGCCGGTGGCTATGAACAAGGACGAGACTCACGAGACTTTTGTTGGTTTGCTTCCTGCATGCAAGGCTTAAATGTTTGTAGATGTAACCATTAGTAAACGAAAAGAGACAGTAAACTTGGTCGCGTGGTACAAAGTGACTTTTGCCGTTTGCCGTAAACGTAACTCCGTCTAAATCTGTCTACTATATAAATCTTGTCAATTGATTGCTAGATATTATGAATATAGCAAAATCTGCTCGCCAGCTCGGCTGTTTATGGTTTATCAGATCGGCTTTTTTAAACACATCCTATTTCTCCGTGCTTTTTAAGAAAGGATTATGAAATTTTTGATTACCATAATATTTCTATCTTTTTTTGTGTCCTCAGAGGCTTTTACTGTAAAGCCTTTCCATCTGAACACGTGTCGACGCAAACTCCAAGATCATTACCAAAGAACAGCATCTGTGCCCACCTCTGTTTGGTGTAAGAAATCCGTTGTTGACATTCGCAAGATTTACACTCGACTATCCTTGGTGAAGGAGAAGCAAACCCCAGCTGAAACAACGCGCTTTGAGTTAAAGCATTACGGTCATCTTTTCTCTGGAGACACTTACCTCGATATCATTCCAAAACGAATACTTATGCAAGGGAAGACGGGAATCGGAAAAAGCACCTTTATCAAAAAGTTGCTTGTGGACTGGGTGGATGTCCAGAAGGAGACAAGTGACGAAGAAACAGCTATCCTGAAGAATTTTGAACTTGTGGTTGCTGTGAATCTCAAAGAAGTGTCCAAATGTCAAAGCTTTAGAGATGTAATTAGACTCTCTGGTGTTTTTGCGAAGGAAGACAAATATATGACAGAAGGCCTTGTCGATTATATCACCAACAACCAAGAGAAAGTTCTTTTGATCTTCGACGGCTACGACGAATACCGATGTGGACGCAACTCAGAAATCTACGACATTTTCATGGGAAATAGCTTGAGAGAGTGCTGTGTATTAATAACAACTCGTATTTCAAAAGCTGACGAGTTGAGTGGAANTCCAAATGTCAAAGCTTTAGAGATGTAATTAGACTCTCTGGTGTTTTTGCGAAGGAAGACAAATATATGACAGAAGGCCTTGTCGATTATATCACCAACAACCAAGAGAAAGTTCTTTTGATCTTCGACGGCTACGACGAATACCGATGTGGACGCAACTCAGAAATCTACGACATTTTCATGGGAAATAGCTTGAGAGAGTGCTGTGTATTAATAACAACTCGTATTTCAAAAGCTGACGAGTTGAGTGGAAATGAAGACCTGAGTGTTGAAATCACAGGGTTTCAAGAACCTGACAGGAGAGACTTTATGGCGAGATTTTTGCCAAAAAAGGAAGTGTTTAAACTGGAGAATATTTTACACGAGAGAAAACTTCTTGAACTAGCGAAAGTCCCTCTCCTGCTCCTATTTTTCTGTACCCTCTGGAAGGAAGGGAAACTAAAGAACTTTCCTGAAACTAAAACTAAATTGTACATGGGTATTATTCAGTTCATTCTAAATCACAGCCATAGAAAGCAATCGCCACCTCGGTATGTTGAAGTACAATCTTTCACGGCGGTCCTCTCAGAGATAGGAAAGATCGCTTTACAATGTCTTTTGAAAGATGATCATTTGTTTGAGTACAATCAGTTGTCCGACACTGCCAGTTGTGAAGAAAGCGTCTTCATCGGTTTACTTCAAATGACCGAATACTCTGAATCCCTACGGCCTGTTGGAATGGTGTCCTTTATTCACAAGAGCATACAGGAGTTTCTGGCCGCATGGTACATCACTTTCAGATGTATACCAGAAAGCGGGAATCTCGAAAGTGAAATTGGAGTAAAGTTGGAGGAGTGCTTAGCCTTGAAAAATGTATTCCAGTTCATATGTGGCTTGAGTGAGGAAGGAGCACAGACGACTTTGAGCCATTTTAAGTCCGTCAGACTCTCCGATCCTTCGCTAGACTTGTCGAAGGCAATACCGGACGAGGAGAACAAGACAGGTGTACCTCTAAGTGACGTCACTGAACGTCAAAGAAAGTTCAGCGACTTAGTTTTGGACTCATTTGAAGAGGTTGAATCAAAAGCTAAGTTGTCAAAGACTTGTCTTGATTGTCTTGGAGGGATCCTTGTTGTTTCAAGGCCAGTTCCAGTTGACCTACTGCCCAACGAACGGGATGTAAACCCTTGTTCTATAGTTATAGAGAAAAGTTTCTGGTATTTTGTGAGGCCGGAATCTGGGGTTACAAGAGTGCGTAAGCCATTTAGAATACTTAGCCGCGTCCGGCCCCCTTGGCTAACTGGAATCATATTGGGTGAATTTGTAACAAAGTTCCAGAATGCCAACTGTATTGTCCGGGGTGGTGTTCCTCCTTGTCAGTATGGCTCAGTACTTTGTTTCCGAAATGACCAAGTCCAGTTTTACATCACATACTTAGAGCTACGGTGCAAAAACCACGCCAGGCTATTCACTGATATTGCGGTTTCATCTGATTCAACATATTTAAGTTCAGTGCATTCATGCATGAAATTCCTAAAATGCCTATATTGTAAAAAATTGGAAGAGAATTTAACGCTAGAACTTGCTGCAGTCATCAAACACTGTAATCATTTGGAACTCGTTGAAGTTTCTAAAAGTGATGACTCTTTATGTCAACTCCTGGTGCAAGTACCAAATCCTAGCCGGTGCTCTTTGTCTATCAAGTCATGTTGGTTATCATCAGCTGGAGCGGTTAACCTTGTATCTTTGTTACTGAGGTTTGGAAACGTCAACCGCCTTGGCCTTCACCTGGATGAATGCTCCGATGATGCAGGAGAAAAATTGGGTGTTGCCTTAATCAACCTGAAGTCTCTGAAGAACTTGAAACTGAGTAGCATTAGCCTAACGTCAGCAATAGCAGCGGCGCTTGGTCAGTCGCTGCCTGAATTGTCAGCCTTACAATTACTGAACATACAGGGCGCTTTTAAGGGACCCAGTTTGCAATACAAGGCCGAAATGGAGACGCTGTTTCATAGCTTTAACAGGCCATCTGGTTTAAAGGTCTTAAACGTCGCCTGTTTTAACGCGAAAGGAAGTCTTGCTCACCTCACCAAAAAATTTTGCTTCTTTCCATTGTTAGAAGAGTTAAATCTTGAACACTTAGACATGGCGGAAATTGACTTCTTTAGTCTCCTCGAGAATATGAAATTCATCCCTAAACTGCGATGGCTGAGCCTGAAAGGTAACCCGCTTGGTCATGCAGTAAGACAGGTAGTCCCACATTTACTAAAACTACAAAGCCTGCGACATGTTTTCTTCGAACTAGGAACTGATTGTTCGAAAGAAGATTTGGATTATGTTCGGGAGGCCGTGAAAGGAAAAGTACCTCAGCTGGAAACTTCCTATAGTCACAATTGTCAATATTTCTACCTTACCTCTGACTTCGAATGGGACATATCGGACTTCTAGCTAAATGCAATCATTCACAACAACCTTTTCCGAAAAGTAGAAAACTAGCGAGACAAATTTCAATGAAAAACGGCAGAATCTAGAAATATGGAAAACAAAACTACAAACCAATCAAAAATGTCGAATTAACGGTGCATAAAAGCAAGATTGCAGTACTTACAGCGTTGGTTATTAAAAAGTTAGTGAAGCGACATCATTAGCCGCCCGTTTTGCTTTACTTTAGCGGTTTTCCCGGCTAACTTGCTTGATTATCCCTTCAGATTTTTTATCTGAATAATAAAATTCACTTTCCCTAGCTAATGCTATTAAGAAACGGTCCAGAAAAGAACGATAGCAACAACGGCAACGAACATGTTGGAATGCTAAAAAGGTGCTAACTTTTCTATTGTCTGTACTTACTTCTGATTGGCTTAAACAGCAAAACTTAACAAAACTTCATAAAGCAGTACATACATGTGTATTCATCCTTACTTTCCAACCATCTTCCATATAACAAAATCTGGAGTTAGTTTGAATAACAAAGAAATCCTATGTGGGGAACATGTAAAATTGTAAACTTTTCTTGGCTATTGTTTTCAACTCTTGTGATTGGTCGAAATCTTTTAACACACACAAAAAAACCCTTTCAAAGTGGAGTGTAAATGCATTTTATTGCCTAAACGGCCTTCATGTAGGTTTTTGCATTCTCTGTGTAAAAATGAGAACATTCCTATGTGGGGAAAGCACCGTTGCCGCATAACAAAGGAAATTGCTATCCACCTTACCCGGATCATTACTTAATAGCGCAAGTTTTAAAAGAAAAATGGTTTAAAAATCACGGTTTTTGCTCATTCACGAACAACAAACAAAATTGTGAATGAAGCTGTCAACGATTCCGCCCGGGTTAGCGGGCAAGATCGTAAAAACCGACCGCTCACGGAACTTATCAGGATTAGGGGGATTCCGCCCGCTCGCAAGCTTAGAAAAAAATAACTACCGCTTAACGCCCCCCGCTTAAGTAAAGAGTGCAATCAAGAGAGCATAAAGGGGACAGAGAAGGCATCCCCCCCCACACACCCTATTCCATAGGTAATTCGTCTCGAGTTATTTTTAAGACACACAAATCCCAAGGGGGATTAGACAACAGCCAATCACATAGCGCGAATGTGTTCCGCGTGGATGACCCACGCTCAGAGCCACGCGTTCTTCACGAATTGACGCAGAAAAAAATGGTGGAAGACTCGGAGAGCGATATTGCTATTCGTTTTGTCGATGAAAACGACTAAAGAGAGATTTCTGCTAAAGCGGTGTCAGCGAAATGGAAATTAAAAAAAATCGCCCTTCCTCTCTTGTATAGAGCTAACAGTACAGATGGAAAATCCTTAACACGCTGAATATTCTCTCAGGATCATTTATAATTTACAGTTTGAAGAGAGCAATTTCTGGTTTGATATTCATTCTTAATTTTCTTAGTCTTTTATTATTCAACAAAAATAACACTTGGCGCCCTACTTGCTTTATTGTACAAACGACCGGTTTCAATAGACCGGCGAAATTTGTCATTTTATTAAAGCACTGAGGTTACGACAACTTCGAGTTAAACTGATTTCACGGGTTGTCAAAGAGTCCAGCGATACCCTTCTCCCAGGTGAGCGCCGACCCATTTTGTGTTAATATTCGGAAATGCTCTCGATCTCTTTACGCTTTCATTGCCTTTTGCCCGACATGTTTTGCACGGCGTTTAGTCATGCGAAACCTCCACGAAACATCCACGCAGCGCGCGAGGTAACTTTATCCCGATTCTAAAAATAACTCGAGACGAATTACCTATGGAATAGGGTGTGTATGGGGGATACCTTCTCTGTCCCCTTTATCCTCTCTTGGTGCAATCTCATTGAACATCTTTTTTTCAGGTTTTTAGTTTTAGACATTAAACTATTTTCTTCAATCGATTATTGAATGGCGTTATTCCCCAAGTAACGAAACTAGGTCCAATATTATTTTCAGTTATAGTAAACCGGCGACTTTGGTAGTGTCCAAGGAAGCAGCGCGTTCCTTATACTGATGATCTGACTCTTACGATACTTGAAATTGTACCTAGGAAAAACTCGCTATTTCTTGTGAACTTTATTGTAGATGACATCCAATCATTTGCTGCAACCGATAATATTTATCTGAGTCTCGTGTAAAAGTCTGTGTTTTTCGACTTCTTTTATTACAAATAGTTACGTTTCTTTTATCACCAAATCAGATTTGAGGACTGTTTGTGTTAAAAATGGCAGTTGGTCACTTTGAGATCTAGAAGAAGAGTGATAAGCTGCCTAGAGTGATGGACAAGGCTATCCACCTTCATCTAAGTTAAGATTTAAACGCTGAATCAGTTTCATCTAGGTTAGTTGCGTTAATATACTGCCGTGGTAAAGTGCAAGTTGTCCAAAACCTAAAGTTTTGCGATGGAGAAAACAAAGAGTGGCCTTTATCATACCTTTACCTTTTTTTTGCCATGGAATCAATTTCCTTTTTTTGCAATAATTTAATTTTTCCTTGGATTTTTAAAAAAATAAATTTCAAATAGACCGACTTCTTTTGATATTTGATGCGAGAAAACATTATAAGGTCCGACGGTGACGAGAGTTAACTGAAGCTTTAGAAATGCTAACTGACGAGTAAACTTTAGCCTCCTAGTACACTAGCAAGTTTTCTCTGACAAATTTGTTCCTAGACAAGAAAATTTGCTCGAGCAAATAAATAAAAAACGTCTACCTACCATATTCCTAATCAAATATCGGTTTGAGAAGGGGAAAGCGGACCAATAACAAACCGACCCATATGTGGCGTCGCCCTGGGTTTCGAACCCAGGCCACAAAGGAGGGAGCGGGTTTGTGCTGCGCCAATCCTACTCCCTAAGTTAGACAAAAGTTGTTTCCGAAAGCTATTTCAGTGAAGCAAGCATGGCATATCAAAGCAAACAAATTGATAGCAGTTTCTTTCCCCGAGATGAAGGCATTTTTTCTTGCGTCATTTGGTTAGGGAAACGAGGGGTTCCTCGCATAAAGATAAACGCCCGGGGATCTTGGAAAAGGAGTGAACAGAGACCTACTCGCAAGACCTTACGTTTCACCTAACCTTGCGTCCACCCGCAGACAGATCCTTTCTCGATGAACTGAACCGTAATCAACAAAAGCTAAACGTACCCAAAAGCAGAAAACTGAAACTGAACAAGCAGAAAATCTGAAATTGCTGGCAAGAAGCACATGCTTCTTTGTCTAGTAGATTCGGGCCCTCGTAGGTTATAAGATGTACCAAAAATCGCTAGTTTTCCTATGTTATCAACACTTATGAACCGTGAGTTATCTTTGCGCTTTCGTTACAGACCCCAAACCCCCCTATGGATTGTCCTGTCTTTGTAAGCATGATAGGATTTTCTTCAAGGTTTGTGGACTTCTTTCTTCTTTAGGGTTTTACATTCATGTTCACATTCGAAGATGAGTTAAGCTAAGCTTGTTTAATGCGTCCCGTTCACACCAAAGAGACTGTTTTTTTTTTCTTCATATCCAAAAAAGATTCGTAAGGGTTTGTGAGAGGTTTCCTGTCAAGGAAAATATCCCTCTTCATTTCGCATAAAAACTACTAGCCTTAGAAATCAAGGAGCATTTCGCGACGATACCACTGGTTTCCCCGCGAAATGACGCCTGAGGATCGACCGGAGAAATTCCATACCGCAGATGACGCGTCACTACCAGATCTGGGTAGTGACGCGTCATCAGTGTGGAATTTCTGTATTCACTCCTCAGATGTCATTTTGGGGGAAACCAGTGGTGTCGTGGCGAAATGTTGGTTGTTTTCTCAGGCTAAGAAATCATTACAACCTTGTTGCGTTGCGTTTATATCAAGACACCCGAGAGGCTTTCTGTCAAGGAACATATCCCTCTTCATTTCGTAAAGGTATCACTACTCCTTGACGTTTAAGCTCGCTTAGTATTTCAAGAATAGCGTCAAGTTCATAGCGAAATTTTTCAATCTCCCGATTTTTCTGTCGCACAACTTGTCTCCATTTCGCCTCCGTTTCTTCCTTCTCGATTTTTGCTGTTAAATGTGTTTTCTCGATAATTCGTTGCAAGTCTACTTCTCTCTGCGAATGTCTTTGTTCCATAGCAGCTATTTTTGTTTCCAGAGAATCAAACTGTTTCATTTCTGGTGAAAACCTTTCCTTAGCACGTCTTAAGTCCACTTGAAGTTGGTTAACCTGTTGTTGAAGAGACTCTTCTCGAACCTAAAACGTACGAAAATGCAAGTCATTGCCAAGCAACTGTAAGTAATGTTCGAGGATCTCACAGGTGACGTACAGTAGAATTGACCATGTAAACTAATAGAGAGCTGAAGCTTCGAGGGCGAGATTACGACTAAGTAGTGTACGCGCGTGAACCAGTGTTATTTTGGCGGGAAAACGTGATAGCTGTCGTCATTCTGCTACGAGTTTTAGAGAGGATGTCGTAGTGACGGAAGCGAGTTATCAAATGTAAGAAATTTTATCATTTTGTAATCGGGAGAGGGTTTAACCTTCTTTAATTTAGATAATAGTGCTAACTTTTCTTGAAAAGAATAGTAAAATGAAACTTTAGGGGGAGTCGACTTTTTGAGAATACGGGAAAAAACTTAACATCAAATTTCGTACTCGTAGTCGTTTTTGTCCTCTAATCTAAAGCTCTCTAAACTAATGAGGCCTGGAAACCTAGGCGAAAGAAAAGAATTCTTCGTTAACCGAATGTTTGCTGTCTACCCTTAAATCTTTTACTTTAAGAAAGAATTTCTCATTTATTAGTAGCAAACGAAAAGGGAAGTTTTTTAGTGCTCAAATATATTTCCCGACTCCTTCAATCTCAAGTTGTCAGGTGACTGGTTAGGCAAATCTTCTTCTACCTACTCAACAAATCAATTAAAAAAGTCTTCTCTGTAATATGTCGCTGAGGCACGTAAGCACCCTGTTTGATACGAATTGAAATTGTTGCCCTCTTGTTTTTAACAAAAACGAAGAAAGTTTTTAAAGCTCATCTTGGGCGAAGGGTGGAAAAAGCGCGCGATAGACCGAGAAAAACAAATTGCGCCATCATTGATTCCTCTCTATAGGCATGGACCACACATGGCTCTCGACCAATAATTGCGCGAGAAATCGTTTTGTTAAAGAGGCTGTGTCATGGCTGGCTAGCTCATTTTGTTTCAACGCCAGTTAGGCATCCTTATTCGCTATGAAACTTGAGAAATTATTTTTGACTGGAAAAAGCACAACCTTATGTCAAACAAAAATGTCATGCAGCCAAGCATTATATCAAACGTTAGAAACAACAAAAACGAACTTTGAAAAACTGTTACGCAAACAAGTTTTCAAAAAACTAAAATTTCAATCCGCTTTAATCTTCTTCAAGTTTGTTCATCCGCCCCCTCGTTATGTATTTGCTGTGTTATTTTCTTTAGCGTTTTGAGCGGATATTTTTGTTTCACTGAATTTGGTGGCAGTTCCAGCTCACGTCTGAAGTTTGATAAATTTCGAGACACAGCTCCTTCAGTGTCTGGGAAACTGCCCACCTAGCCCTCCCCTAAGCCAATATTAACACTTACCGTATTTATTCGATTAACCGCCCTGGGCACTTATTAAATTTTTGGACCTTGAGAGTGGGCGCTTATTCGAGGTGGGCGCTTATTCAAGGCTGGGCGCTTATTAAATTTTCAACACTTCAGCAAGTGTAGTATGTTTATTATGCAACAAAACAATAAATAGTAAAAACAAAACGCTAAGATGTAACAAAGCAAGGTTTCTGTAAAATACTCTGAAGAAAACTCCGTCTTCGGGGAAGTCTCTTATTAGTACTTATTCAATTTTTGGGGGGTGTGAGGGGAAAGGGGGTAGGGTAGGGTGGGCGCTTATTCGAGGCTGGGTGCTTATTCACTTTTTCTGTCTTTAGGATGGGCGCTTATTCGAGGTGGGCGCTAATTCGAGGTTGGACGCTTATTTGAATAAATACGGTACTTGTCACTCGGGGCAAAAAGTTAACTTAGGGGAGGGGTAGGTCGGCGGTTTTCCAGAAACGTATAAATGATACAAAGAATCTTTACCTTAGCTGATGCCACAGCACCGGCATTAACACTAGCATCAGCCATTTTCGCTTTGAGTCTCTGTATGACAATTTCTTGCCCAGCTAGCTGACTCTTAAGCTCTGCTATTTTAGAGGATCCATGACTGACAGCAAACTCTGCCTTCAACTGATCTATTTCACGTTTGTGTTGAGCCTGCGCACTTGCCAACTGGTCAGCTGCCTCTTCACGAGAAAGCCGAGCACAGGAGGGAGCGGGTTTGTGCTGCGCCAATCCTACTCCCTAAGTTAGACAAAAGTTGTTTCCGAAAGCTATTTCAGTGAAGCAAGCATGGCATATCAAAGCAAACAAATTGATAGCAGTTTCTTTCCCCGAGATGAAGGCATTTTTTCTTGCGTCATTTGGTTAGGGAAACGAGGGGTTCCTCGCATAAAGATAAACGCCCGGGGATCTTGGAAAAGGAGTGAACAGAGACCTACTCGCAAGACCTTACGTTTCACCTAACCTTGCGTCCACCCGCAGACAGATCCTTTCTCGATGAACTGAACCGTAATCAACAAAAGCTAAACGTACCCAAAAGCAGAAAACTGAAACTGAACAAGCAGAAAATCTGAAATTGCTGGCAAGAAGCACATGCTTCTTTGTCTAGTAGATTCGGGCCCTCGTAGGTTATAAGATGTACCAAAAATCGCTAGTTTTCCTATGTTATCAACACTTATGAACCGTGAGTTATCTTTGCGCTTTCGTTACAGACCCCAAACCCCCCTATGGATTGTCCTGTCTTTGTAAGCATGATAGGATTTTCTTCAAGGTTTGTGGACTTCTTTCTTCTTTAGGGTTTTACATTCATGTTCACATTCGAAGATGAGTTAAGCTAAGCTTGTTTAATGCGTCCCGTTCACACCAAAGAGACTGTTTTTTTTTTCTTCATATCCAAAAAAGATTCGTAAGGGTTTGTGAGAGGTTTCCTGTCAAGGAAAATATCCCTCTTCATTTCGCATAAAAACTACTAGCCTTAGAAATCAAGGAGCATTTCGCGACGATACCACTGGTTTCCCCGCGAAATGACGCCTGAGGATCGACCGGAGAAATTCCATACCGCAGATGACGCGTCACTACCAGATCTGGGTAGTGACGCGTCATCAGTGTGGAATTTCTGTATTCACTCCTCAGATGTCATTTTGGGGGAAACCAGTGGTGTCGTGGCGAAATGTTGGTTGTTTTCTCAGGCTAAGAAATCATTACAACCTTGTTGCGTTGCGTTTATATCAAGACACCCGAGAGGCTTTCTGTCAAGGAACATATCCCTCTTCATTTCGTAAAGGTATCACTACTCCTTGACGTTTAAGCTCGCTTAGTATTTCAAGAATAGCGTCAAGTTCATAGCGAAATTTTTCAATCTCCCGATTTTTCTGTCGCACAACTTGTCTCCATTTCGCCTCCGTTTCTTCCTTCTCGATTTTTGCTGTTAAATGTGTTTTCTCGATAATTCGTTGCAAGTCTACTTCTCTCTGCGAATGTCTTTGTTCCATAGCAGCTATTTTTGTTTCCAGAGAATCAAACTGTTTCATTTCTGGTGAAAACCTTTCCTTAGCACGTCTTAAGTCCACTTGAAGTTGGTTAACCTGTTGTTGAAGAGACTCTTCTCGAACCTAAAACGTACGAAAATGCAAGTCATTGCCAAGCAACTGTAAGTAATGTTCGAGGATCTCACAGGTGACGTACAGTAGAATTGACCATGTAAACTAATAGAGAGCTGAAGCTTCGAGGGCGAGATTACGACTAAGTAGTGTACGCGCGTGAACCAGTGTTATTTTGGCGGGAAAACGTGATAGCTGTCGTCATTCTGCTACGAGTTTTAGAGAGGATGTCGTAGTGACGGAAGCGAGTTATCAAATGTAAGAAATTTTATCATTTTGTAATCGGGAGAGGGTTTAACCTTCTTTAATTTAGATAATAGTGCTAACTTTTCTTGAAAAGAATAGTAAAATGAAACTTTAGGGGGAGTCGACTTTTTGAGAATACGGGAAAAAACTTAACATCAAATTTCGTACTCGTAGTCGTTTTTGTCCTCTAATCTAAAGCTCTCTAAACTAATGAGGCCTGGAAACCTAGGCGAAAGAAAAGAATTCTTCGTTAACCGAATGTTTGCTGTCTACCCTTAAATCTTTTACTTTAAGAAAGAATTTCTCATTTATTAGTAGCAAACGAAAAGGGAAGTTTTTTAGTGCTCAAATATATTTCCCGACTCCTTCAATCTCAAGTTGTCAGGTGACTGGTTAGGCAAATCTTCTTCTACCTACTCAACAAATCAATTAAAAAAGTCTTCTCTGTAATATGTCGCTGAGGCACGTAAGCACCCTGTTTGATACGAATTGAAATTGTTGCCCTCTTGTTTTTAACAAAAACGAAGAAAGTTTTTAAAGCTCATCTTGGGCGAAGGGTGGAAAAAGCGCGCGATAGACCGAGAAAAACAAATTGCGCCATCATTGATTCCTCTCTATAGGCATGGACCACACATGGCTCTCGACCAATAATTGCGCGAGAAATCGTTTTGTTAAAGAGGCTGTGTCATGGCTGGCTAGCTCATTTTGTTTCAACGCCAGTTAGGCATCCTTATTCGCTATGAAACTTGAGAAATTATTTTTGACTGGAAAAAGCACAACCTTATGTCAAACAAAAATGTCATGCAGCCAAGCATTATATCAAACGTTAGAAACAACAAAAACGAACTTTGAAAAACTGTTACGCAAACAAGTTTTCAAAAAACTAAAATTTCAATCCGCTTTAATCTTCTTCAAGTTTGTTCATCCGCCCCCTCGTTATGTATTTGCTGTGTTATTTTCTTTAGCGTTTTGAGCGGATATTTTTGTTTCACTGAATTTGGTGGCAGTTCCAGCTCACGTCTGAAGTTTGATAAATTTCGAGACACAGCTCCTTCAGTGTCTGGGAAACTGCCCACCTAGCCCTCCCCTAAGCCAATATTAACACTTACCGTATTTATTCGATTAACCGCCCTGGGCACTTATTAAATTTTTGGACCTTGAGAGTGGGCGCTTATTCGAGGTGGGCGCTTATTCAAGGCTGGGCGCTTATTAAATTTTCAACACTTCAGCAAGTGTAGTATGTTTATTATGCAACAAAACAATAAATAGTAAAAACAAAACGCTAAGATGTAACAAAGCAAGGTTTCTGTAAAATACTCTGAAGAAAACTCCGTCTTCGGGGAAGTCTCTTATTAGTACTTATTCAATTTTTGGGGGGTGTGAGGGGAAAGGGGGTAGGGTAGGGTGGGCGCTTATTCGAGGCTGGGTGCTTATTCACTTTTTCTGTCTTTAGGATGGGCGCTTATTCGAGGTGGGCGCTAATTCGAGGTTGGACGCTTATTTGAATAAATACGGTACTTGTCACTCGGGGCAAAAAGTTAACTTAGGGGAGGGGTAGGTCGGCGGTTTTCCAGAAACGTATAAATGATACAAAGAATCTTTACCTTAGCTGATGCCACAGCACCGGCATTAACACTAGCATCAGCCATTTTCGCTTTGAGTCTCTGTATGACAATTTCTTGCCCAGCTAGCTGACTCTTAAGCTCTGCTATTTTAGAGGATCCATGACTGACAGCAAACTCTGCCTTCAACTGATCTATTTCACGTTTGTGTTGAGCCTGCGCACTTGCCAACTGGTCAGCTGCCTCTTCACGAGAAAGCCGAGCACTTCGCTCGGTTTCCGCCAAGGAGGCCTGGAACCGAACCCGCTGTTGATCCATATCTAGTGACAGGCGCGACATCTGTTCTTTAAGGCGCTTGTTTTCCTGTGTCAAATTCTCTACTGTTGGGTCTGTGGTGGGGCTTGTTTGTTTATCCACTTGGGTGCGTTCTGAGGCCAGCATTTGTTCTCTTTCTCGCTGCAGCCTGTTGCATGTCTGTCGCAAGTCCTCCAATTCAAAATCCTTCTTTTCCAATTTTTCTTGCAAAGATTTGATCAAGCTGTTTGAATCATCGCTTAAACGCTTTTCTAACTCAAGCTTTCTTCTACGACTGGTCTTTCCACCCGAAATTTCCATTGATTCAGCTTTTGATAATGCGACTTGTAAAACTTGGACTTCGGTTTTAAGTTGTCGAACTTTGCTCTCGTTCTCTGCACGCACAGTTTGCAATTCGTCTTCCAAAACCCGCGTGTTTGAGCGTGACACGGTATCGTACCGATCTTGAGCGCTTTGCAAATCTCTTTCTAAATCTTTGATTCTGTCTTCGTACTCCATTCTAAGAGCATTATATTTTTGTTCCACGCATCGAATTCTTTTGCTCGCATCCTCATCTTTATCCTCAAGCTCAGCTTCCAGTTTTTTCACTCTGTTTTCTAAGAATGCATAAGTCGGGGATTGTTTGCGAGGGGACTCTGTCGTCACAGCTTGAGCGTGGCCTGGTGCCGAGGCAGCCGCATATATCAGAGCGGGAAGGGAGTTCGGATAGCGCCGCTTAATGATTTCTTCCATTTCACGGACCTATAAAGAAAAAAATTGTTATATAAAATGGGATCGAATAGATATTTGACGCAGACAATAATTCGCTTCCACTTCCAAAGCAATACGACATTTTTTATAAGTCGCCTAAACACACCTTTTTTTACTTCTCGACATATTTCTTCACACTTGAATTACAGTTTCCCTCATTCAAAGTTTCATTCTTTTCAATTCTTGCTATTTAAAGACAATAGTCCGAGTTGTAAAAAAGCACAAATATTTCAAGGTCCCCTTAAATTTCCACGTAGACATTGGCCACAACACCTCCCGTTTTCCTCAGAATCAGTAACTCTTTTATTTATGAAACGTGTTTGTTATGGGTTTGAAGGAGAAGCCTGTCCAATACAATGCTGAGAATAATTGATTTTACAGGGCTAACGTTAAAACTGTTGACCCAGTAGTTTATATTGTCGCCGAGAACCAAAACAAATTTTGCAAACAGTTTTGACGACTAAAAGCGCTTTCCGAAAGTCAGAACTGACCTATTCTGAAAATTTTATTTTTATTTTCTAAAACCCATCACTGCCGTGGACACCATTTTTAAAAATAAACTGCCTTGGCTGAATAGCCCTGATTAATAGTGGAATTCTCCTTACTGGGACTGGACTGGTCGGGCCAGCCAGTTGTGACAAATGTTAAGTGCTCTAAGAAACCCGAACTAGCCTGAGGCAAATAGTTGTTAGCTGTTAGCTGTTAACAAGCCCGAAAAGGGAAGCTATCAAAAACAATTCCGACTACAGTTAAACCCTGCTTCACCTGTCTCTCCAAATCTTGTATTCGTTTGGCATCAGTCGCTCTCTCCACTCCCCTCTGTTTTTTCTCCGCCATGGTCTGGCCGTGTTGGGCTTGTAAACGAGCTACAGTCTCTTTCAATTCGCTAATCTCTTCCTCTTTCTTCTTCAGTGTAAGGGCATCGCGGTCGAGTAGGGCCTGGTTCTCAGCATACCATTTGAGTTTACTGCGCAAGCGCTCCACTTCTGTCGTGTATCTACTCTCAAGTTCAGCTATTTCTCTGGCATTCGAGCCTGCAAACACACAAACAAAAGGGTACACTTAGTACGATATAACAATTAGTACAATAACAATGGAAATTTTCCACGCCCGGTGACTTCTCCATTTCTTAGCGATATATAAAAAAGGCAAACATTTCAAAACGATGTAGATACTAGGATTTAAGTGAATTAATTGGGCCGTTTATAATAGAAGACAAATAAATAAAAATAAAGAAGGTAATATGAAGGATGAAAAAAAGTGTGACGCGCGTCCAGCCTTGTCCTATTGCTTTCAGACATAGCATATCTGCTTATCCCTCTACTACCGAAACCTCGTTCCCAGGGTCCTGTCGTGCCATTTACTTACGCACTTACCTACTTTAATCTCTGCTCACAAAATATACATTCCATCATTAGGAACAGTAAAAACTTGTACACTAACGGATGTTTACTTACCAACTACTTGACTGCTTTGTTTCACTGCTGCATCTCGTTCACCCTCCACACCCCTGATACGATCCTCGAGTTTACTCTTAGCTCGCCTCAGGCCCTCCGCTTCCTCCTGCACATCGTTCACTCTTCTCCTCAGTGTTCTCATCTCTGCTGTCAGCTGAGAGATTTTATCCGCTCCCAAACTGGCAGAGCCTGGGGCGGGAATGTCTCCACTTTCACGTCTTTCCACCTTTTCTTTCAGATTTGCAAGTTCAGATGCTGAACAAAAGAGGAACGGTTATTCAAAGAGGGTATATCACGGTGAGTTCCACATTTTTCAGTCACGATAAGCTGAAATTTCAACTATTAAAGTATTTTCAGTCACCATTTCTCAAGTCAAGTCAAGTCAAGTCAACTTTATTCAGGCAGGGTAGCCCTATCAGCCATTGGCTGGTATCAAAAGGAGCCCTGCGTAAACTACGACTACACGATAAAATTGTAAAAATCAAAAACTACGTTAAAATTATGTACAATGATTTTCAGAAGTGAATAAAAGGGAAATTACTTAGAACTCTTAAAGAAAGATGTAAAATAATTATATTGAAGGGAAAACAAAGCATGATCTTGTTGTGGTCATTTTTCGGCAACAGAGTTAACAGTTGGCCCAATTTTTTCAAGTTGCAGTCCGTTTAATTTCCATCCTGGTCATCGAAAGCCAAAGACATACACTTTAAGGCAAATTAGTTGAGTAAATTTGAATACAAAAACCGTTTTCTTTGACTCAAGTGCGTTCTAGGGTTTTAAAGTAATACTAGAAATTCGTGACATAAGTCCTTTACACAAAGCTTTGCTTTTAATGTCAGCGTGTTTTGACTTTCAGTGCACCTCCACATCTGTCTATTTACGTTATCTTTTTAGTAGGTATATACGTAAAGTGTAAAGTTGGCCAAATGTAAAGTTGGCCAAATCAAACAAGAAGTTTTTTAACATGCCAAAACCCATTTAAGAACACTTTCATACTATCGTTTGTTTTTTCTTTTCAATCGGTATAGCGAGTAACCAAACCATTCCCACAAGCGAGTGTTTAAAAGTGGGGCAAATCTAACATTATTACCTAGCTTTTGGTTTTCGCTGAACATTCTCGCCTCGTTGGCTTTTTCCTTTGCCTGCATTTGTTTGAGTTCTTTATAAAGCCGCTCATTTTCCTGTTGATATCCTGTTAGAAGCTGTTCCTGCTCGCGGACCTCTTTCTCCAGTCTCTTCAGCTCTTCTTCTGATGCAATCTGAGACGAGAAAAAAAAAATGATGAAGTATTTACAACTGAGATGCATGCAATTCAAAAGTTACTGTCTAAAAATTATGACGAAGCTTATCGTGAGTGAGCGCACATTTGGGAATAAGTGATTTGCAGGACAAACCTTCATAGGAACGGATAGTCTTTCTGAAATTTAAGCGACCTTTTCTTAAAATTAGTATTTCCTCTTCTCTTTTCAGGTTAGTTTTAAGTAACTACCAATGAAATACCAGGTCAGCTTTCGCACGAAAACATGATATCTTCACACGTGAAGAGATCACTGTTACCATGGCTACATGATAAACTGCGACTTTCGCAGTAGAAAAAAATCAAAGAAAGCCTATCGTCAACTCGTGGGAACATTGTTTAGAAAATGATCAAATGGTTATCAACTCTGGTTTTCCCACAGTAAATTGTAGGAAATGATAGAAATTCAGATTGTTTATCCATGTACAATATATTTAATACTATCTTTGCTCTGCAAACACAATACTTTTCTTTTTGTTTATTGCATTTTATTAAATAACGGTTATTTAGGTACATATTTATAGAAAAACAACAAAACAAATAAGCAAACAAAACAAGCCAAAACGGGAAAAAAGAAAGAAAGAAGATAAAAAAGAATGGTACAAAGCAGCACTTGAACCCGGGAACCTTCGGCTGTTTGCGACTTTACTATACCACTACACCACGAAGGCTGATTACATCACTCTGGCGTAAACTCTTTAACTTAATGCGTTATCCATGGAACTTCCGCCAGCAAATTCGTTCAGTATGATCGAGCCGCATTAACCGAGCTATTGACAGTGAAAAAACAATGTCAACGCATTTCATGGCAACGAATGAACAAAATAACATGTGCTTTACAAAGCCGATACACCTCGTCAGCGAAGTAGGAGGTAAAACATATGTTTTCTTATCTCGATTTCTGCTGTTATTTTGAAGCTAATGGTCAAAATCACATCCATTTTCGGCTCACACAGGTTTTTAAGAATAGCATGGCATGACATTTTCTTACTTTCAGATCACTTTCCAGCAAGCTGGAATTTGTATATCCCCCGTGATCTTTCGGAGTCAGAAGAGTAATTGCTCATTTTCTCATCAAGTTTAACGCCTGGACGAGTCAAAGGCTCTTGAAATCCAATCCCCAAGTTAACCATCGTACTCATTTGAAAGACTCCTACGTGTCTTAAATTTGGTAAGACCTCTAACCGTGCTGTAGAAAATTTGCCATGAAGAAAACTCTGAGTCTGAGCAGCGAACGCCGAACGATGCACGCTCTCAGCGAAGAATTTGATCCCACCGAACTTCAAGAGCGCGTGCTTCTTCGGAAGCGATAGATCTTCGCACTCTCGAGTTCGGACCAGATTAATTACGAAGTCCGTCTACTACGAGTGAGCGAGTGACTCATTTGCATATCTCTGTCCCTGCAATAACTCATGGTACGCTCGCGCGTCCCCACGAGTTAAAAATGTTATATTGAAATGGCTTGCCATTTCATTGGTTTGTTAACCATAAATAATATGACAGGGACCTCAAGCCACCGAGAACATTGAATCGGCTATTTTTTTAAAAAAATATTATTTGAAAGCTAGCCTCAAACCTCAAGATTTCCTCCAGCCGCTATTTTCTTTCTGACATCAGCCTCCTTCTCAAACTCGTTCAGCTTGGACTGCATTACAAACAGTTCTTGTTTCAGTTCATGTATCTGACTTTCATATTCCAAACGGCTCCTCTCGTCTCGTCTTGACCACTCCTTTTCACGTGACGCCATTTCCGCGATTAACTTATCGTTTCTTTTCTTCTCGTCCTTCCATGCCAGCTGCCAGTTCTCCACCTCCGCTTGCAAGGCCTTCTCGCGGGAAAGTCGGTGTTCATCGGAAGCCATTCGGAACGATGTTCGGGAAACCGATTTAGCAGGCTCGTCCCTAGACCATCTTGCCGCTGGTGGCTCTGTGTTTTCGCTATCGGGACGGACAAAATGTTTTAAATAGTTTGCAAAGGATTCTACAGACGCGGCGAGGTGTTTGGCGGACGGGCTAGATTCTATCGTTTTTGATTCAAGGTTAAGCTTTTTACTTGCTCCAAGCGATTTATTTGTCTGAAAGAAGCAAAAAAATAACGAAAGTAAATAGACTAACGGTAAGGTGATTTACCGGAATTATTATCTGGTTTGTAATTTTTTAATCTAGGCGATGAAGATTTCACTGTTTAAATAAGAGATTTTGGGAAGATATATAATTTTTAGGGAGTTATTATAACTCCAAAAATGGAGTAAACATTTTAGGTACAGGACACCCTTTTTGAGGGTTACTTTAACTCCTAATTTAACTCCGAATTTGGGGTAATTTTTCCCCCCTGAAAAAGAGTTTTTTCTACTCCCAGTCTGGAGTTAAAATAACTCCGAAATGGGGTTATTTTTACTCCTTTCATGGGTTGTTATTACTGTTTTTGGAGTTAATTTAACTCTGAAAGTGGAGTAAAAATTTTAGGTACAGGATAACTCCTTTTTGGGGGTTATTTTAACTCCTCAATATCTGGGGTCACTTTTACTCCTGAAAAAGAGTTCTTTAAACTCTTTTTTGGAGTTAAAATTAATAACTCCCCAAAAAATAACTCCACTGTAAGGAGTTAAATTAGCCCCACTAAAGGAGTTATTATAACTCCTTGAAAATTACTGTGCATTTTAAGCGCTTTTAATTAGTAACTAACGCACCTTCGTTCTCGTGCTTCTCAGCGTAGGTGTGGGTGACCAAGAGGGAGCTGACGAAGGCGATGGTTTGAACAGGTGACTTTTTTCCACCGAGGTACTCCCCAACTTTCCCTTCCCCTTCTTTTGCGCTGGTTTCTCTTTTATCGAGCTCGTTCTTCTTGATCTCTCTTTGTCAGCCTTTGATGTTCTCTTCGCTGTAACTTTAGCCTCAGTACTTTTCTTGAGATTATCTTTCCCTGCGCTTCTTCTAGCGCGTGCTATATTCTTGATGCTTTGTAAACTTTCCGGCGGAGGGGTATCTTCATCTTCATCTTCATCCTCCTGATCTTCCTTCAACTCGCTCTCCAACAAGTTAACTACGGGTTGCAGACTGAACCCACGTTCATCTTCCGCGGCTGTCTGCAGGTCAATTCCTCGTCCATCTTCCACACTGTCTGGCGGCGCATCAACAGCGGGTTTAAGGTCTAATCCTCTTGCGCCGGTAGCCGGCTGGAGACTGAATCCACGGAAATCCTCTGTAGGCTGTAGGTCAAATCCTCGACCTCCTGAGGTTACAGCAGATGTCAGGTCAAGGCCATGTGGCTCCAGTATGTCAACTTTCATGTAAGCGTCATCAACAGAGGACATAACACTTGAGCCAAGGTCTTGGATTATACCCTGCACCGATCCCTTAAATCCTGAGTTGTTCTTCACGGGCTTTAACCCAAATCCTCTTTCAGTATCCACAGAGATAAACGAACTTGTGTTCTTTCCCTGTGTTGTCATGGCAGCACTACTGGCCTGCCAATCATCCGTCACAACAACTGGTTGAAGGTTGAATCCACGCGCCCGAGTTTCTCCTTGATCGTTTTTCTCAATGACAATCTGTCCTTCTTTGGACTGGTCAACACCTTGAATGACACTGGAAGTGGGCGGAAGTTCCAAATTGCCTGGAGAAGGAATCTCAAAAATTAGCATGAAAGTGAGAAACGTTCTCCTTAAACAGAACGGGAAAATTTGATAGTAACAGTATCAACACTTTCAAGGCTCTTGTCCTCAGAAAAATAGGTAAAAATTCCCAAAGTTTCCGAGAGCGACAAAGAAATTAGTTAATCCAAATTGAAAGCGACTTAAATTTTCATTGACGCGTTGTTCATGTGCGAGGGAGGATCAGCGGTCAACCTTTGCAGGTAACAATTATACTCCAACAAATAACGAACTGATTAGAGAATTTTGGCGGGAAACAGTTCATTGTCAGATGCCATGTGACCTACAAGTTGCCAATGAAAACGCACCCTTTTGAGGAAAACATTCCAGTTCTATTAAAGTTTTCATTATGAAATTAATTTTACCTGAGTATCTTGAACCTGTACCGGTTACAGTAAGTTGAGCGGCTTGAAGTGCAGCTTGAAGCTCGTGAATATCTCTTGTACTCCCACTTGCCTCATACTCAGTTCCTGTTCTTAACATTGAAGGCACTTTTCCCTCCGGGCTTACTTCCTCCGCGGTGGCTAAAAACGCAAAGAAAATGCAAACACACACGAACTTGCACGGTGTATATCTTTTATCGATGTGCGCCAAAACGCCCCTGAGACAAAAATTACCCCACTCCTTCTCCAAGCCCCCCACCGCCTTCCCCCGCGCAAGTTGAATGAAATAAGACGCCTTGAACCTTGAACGTGTGACGCGCACGTTTTAGGAACGAGAATTTTAAAATCAAATTTTTTTATTTCCAAAAACGTTTACAAGTGTAATTTGACTTTACCAGAGAAACGATATACATGCAGATTTCTTACCGTCAGGAGAAGCCACAACTTGTTGTTGTTTTTTCTGTTGGGAGAGAAGACTGAGGGCTGCTGCAGGTCTCTTGGTTTCCAAAGTAGAATCTAGCGACTCCATCAGAGAAACTGGTTTTAAAATATAAGTAAAATGTCAAAACGTTTTTTTTAGAGTCAAGACTCATCGGAAGTGGGCTAATTAATGTCATGTGTAAATGCAAAGCTGTGGATGAGAGGACAACAGTTTTGTATGAACTGTAAACTCGGACGTCAGCATGCAATTTAGAAAACTTGATTAATTCAATGCCACGAAAGATGTTGTTCATCGTGGTTTGTGTGGTGACTTAGATATTGATCGCGACGTTTCGACTGCGTCCTGCAGGACTTCATCAGGTGATGGTGTCGATTTACTGAGTACGACTATATGTGCCAATCGTACTCAGTAAATCGACACTAATGGTTCGTCTCCTGAAAAGTTCGACGTTTAGTCTAGCCCTAAACCCACAACAGTAAAATCGTATGTTCTTCCCCTCTTTTTTTCTTCTTTGATCAACTACTCAACTACCAAGCATAAAAATTTAGTATTAATTTGTGTACATACCTTTTGATAACAAGCTCGGTTTGGCTGCTTCTGGAGGTTCCTGGTATAAAAAGTAAAAGCGAAACATAGTAAAAAAGTAAAAGGAAAAAAATACACAATGAGCTTTTATTCAGATCTACCACAACGAGAGGCAAAAACAAACAATCAGAAAAAAGCATTGGAAACTGTCTGATCAGAGGATAATTAAAACGTAAAATACAAGTTACCGCTATCAATATCATACCTATCGTTTAACCAAGATTTCCGAAGCCTTATATTCCGCGCAACTTCGAGAGACAAAGTATAATAGTATTTATGTTACAGGTCACAGTTATATTTAGGTTAAAATTTTTTAACCTAGTTGAATCTCATTTTCCTAAATTAGGCTAGGAGACAAAGGAAATTGAGAATCAACACGGGTTTAAAAAAATGACCTGAATTTCATTTTGACCTGTAACATTTACAAAAACTACCAAAACCTAACGACAAGAGGATTTCCAGGAGGCCTTTCACAAAAAACCCCACTTTCTTTAAGTATCAATGCATTTAACGCGAAAGAAATAATTGAGGAATTGAGGGCAATACTTTTTACGTCTCCAGTAGGAGACGGGACCGCCATTTTACGTGGTCATGCGAGCCTCGTAGTCTGACCGCTTGCAGGGCAAAGGCAGTAACTTCATTCTCAGTTATTTTGAGACCCTGAGTATTGGTCCGGCCCCGGGGATCAAACACGCGAGGTTAAGCACCTGAGCACTGAGCCCACGATGCACTCTGCTTAGAGTGCACGCAGACAGTGGTTTTCAAAAAACGAAATTCGTCTACGTCATCACTGACGTCATACAGTACTTACGGGAGCTGTAGGCCTTGGTGGACCTTCAGTATCGAGCAGTTCTGCTTCCGGAATTTTCTCATCTTCAAAATTATCACTGTATTCTTCATCTTGTTCTTCGTTATCCTCCACAGCATCATCAACGGCTGTTCTGTTCATTTTATCGGCTGTTCCTACACAAAGTGAAGCATTTTAAAAATGCAGAAACTCTCTCTAGTTTCTTAGAATAAAAATTGTACCACAGGAAATAACAAAACAAAACAGGGGTTGATTTCTCTAATCTCGGTTTTCAAACAAAAAAAATAATGTAAATTCATTTTCGCCAATTGTTTGGCTTGGTTTACACCGTAAGTATTCTGGAATATGAAGTGCCTGGTTTTTTTCCAGCGAACGAAATGCTTACGTCGGTGACAACGCTCTATCACAAGGCGGTTACCAGCGGTTTACAGACGTGTATTTTAACTCAAACCACCGGCAGCCAACCAGATCGTCGAGATACAAAGATGCCGCAAACAGGAGGTTACAGCTTAATTTCTAGACCTCTCTCTGTAGTCAGGAGGTTTCAACTCTTCATCCACCCTTGTAAATACTAGCCGGCCAATCTGCCTCCTGCCGGTTGGTTTTCCCAACCTATTTGTTCTTACATTAGGTTGTAGGACGACAATGATGAATGTTAAACTATTTACCAAAACAGTAGATAGCAATTTTTTACGCGTTTCAATTGGCTCCCATAACTCAGAATATCCATAGCTATTCACTGCGTGGTTAGTTGGCGAGTCCAATCCACATTTACTTGCTTTTCGTTAAAATTTGAACTTCATAAGGAAGACAACTCTCTTCGGAGGAGAGTTAAAGATGAACCCGGGCTGAGACAGAAGAGTTGATGCTGTAAAGAAATGTATCGTGTATGGAAGCAAAAACCTTGTCCTCACCGGTCATATTGAATATTGAATCCCCAAGCTCAGCTCCTGTGGCTTGTAACCTGTCATCTTCCCTCCTAATATAGAAAAATACAATGTAAACATGTATATAACCAATCGACAACAATTCTCCATGATCTGTACTCTTATCGACCATACAGATGACCTTAATATGTTCCAAACTCAAGTGGAACCACAAGCTGAAGGTGAGTGGTTTCATGGCAAAGTTTTGAACATTTTGATGTCATTTTTATGGTCGATAAGATTAAAAGACAAATTTTCACTTATTAATTTTACAAAATATCCATGAAAAGGGAAGTACATGTAATACGTACAAATACAAATTAATATGACCTTCTTTCCTTGTGCATTACTATTAAAATCTACATTGCACCTGAAAGTGCATTCCATGTCATAAAAAGTATGTCAGATGAAAATGAAGCATCAATGCAACTGAAATGTGGGAAAAGCAATCTTCCATTACTTTTGTTATCATCTACAAAAGCCAAAGATCTTTGTTTCTTTGAAATTCCAGGCGATTTTGAGGCCAAAGGAAGGAAAGACCTGAAATAGGCCCTTTGCAGCTCGCAGTTATGTGACCGTCAACATGAGGAAATTATTATATCATGTGAAATACTGTAATTTTTACAGGGGACGGGGAACTTAAAGTGGCTACGTCACAGAATATTGCTGTTTTAAGTCAATTCTGTAATGAATTCACTACTTAGTGTCTTTACCCATATAAAAAATGCTCCTGTACGGTTATGAAGTAGACATCAAACAAATCTCATAAGGGAGCTTTAGCCATACTAATTTCTTTTGGTTATTTTTGCAGGCATAACACTAAAACTTGAATAACAAAACTGGACCATTGGTTTTTGGAATTCAATTGATGCGGAAAAAATTTAGCTTTTTAAAAAAACGGCAAACAGCATGAGATAGATAGCCCCTTTATAGGAAGTTTTGGTAGGGGTTTGCCGCCAAGGCCTTCAAACACTGAACCTGTTTAAGACAAAAATGATTCATTTCACTAATCTGTTTAAGTGTACAGAACATTTTTCAAGACCCTTATTCAACTCATTATGTATACAGAATTATATTACACAAATCTTTCAAACTAACATAATACAGTTAGATTTTACACATCCTACCTTTCTTGGGTAACTGACTCTGAAGTTGAAATTTCTCCAAGTTTTTTCTGATAGTCAACAGGTGATGACCCATCCTCAACATTGTAAAAGAATTTCTCTTTGTCAGCCAGTTCGTTCATTGTTTCCAGTCCCATACTGGTAGGTTTGGTGGTGGCAAAAGATTGGGGGACTGGAGGAGAGGGACTAGCACCCGTTCCAGTTTTAGTCTCATCTGATTATGAAACAAATTAAACTTAAAGCTTGGTACTAAGCAGACAAGTTGAAAGCCGTGTTGAATTAAAAAAACAAAAACAAAAATAAAATGGCACACATTGAGATTCAGAACAGGTTTTTGGCAAAATAAAAATGCAACAGTGGTAATTAAATATTAATGATTCAGTTTGACATACACTTCTTGTACAACGTGCACATGTACCTACAGTGTACAAGATGTGAAGCAAAACAATACATACCACTATGTGTAAAGGTATCCTCAAAGTCCTCAGATCCAAGCCTAACAGATGACGGTATAAATATTACTAAGCTACATGGAATATATCATTTTCATTTTTGTGGCTGAAGTTTGTGGACATGAATACAAATGATTTTTAAAACAGTGTATAACTTAAGTGAAACTCTCAAGACATAACTATGAAAAAACAAATGGAGGGATTCCCTGACAAAAACTCACAAGATATTTAATTTTGCAACCTTCCTACAGTAATTTGAAATGAACTACTTTTATACTTGGATAATTTTTTACACTGTCAAGAAATTTAAAGGGTTGGAGGGCCAGTCCCTTAATATATACCCTGGACCAGTACCAGAGGTTTTTTTCAGAAACCCTGCATGAAANGTCAAGAAATTTAAAGGGTTGGAGGGCCAGTCCCTTAATATATACCCTGGACCAGTACCAGAGGTTTTTTTCAGAAACCCTGCATGAAAAGTCTCTGGCACCCAAGGTAGTCCTTTGAAAACTTGTTGTTGTGAATAATATTTATTTAAAATATCAGCTCAGATACAATGTGACAGAAAGCTTCAAACCTTTTAAGAATCTCTTCAGGAGGCAGTTTTGTCTTTTCTGTAGACTTGGCAAGTCCTGCAGTTAGGATTCATATTATATTATGAGAGTGCATTTAAACATTAGTAAATACGGTAATAACATAAAAAATTAAGGAGTGCATTAATTTCATCCATTCTGAACAAACACAATCAATGTTTTGGTATTGATGTACAGTATTTGAAAGTTTACCTTCCTCAAGACTGTCTCTACTGATTGACAAAGCTGAACTGTCAAAATGACTCCCAGCAGAAAGAGCTGTTAGTGAACCCTTGGCAGAGTGTGGAACTGCTGTAGGAACAATTGGAGTTGCAGCCTAGGAAGATTGAATTTATGTTAAAACACTTCTGGATACCATAGAGATGAGATAGCTTGGTGTAGAGTAAATGCATGGAATGCTAGTGTCTCGACTCTACTAGGGGGTTGGGACAGAAATAGGACAGAAAACCAGTAATTATCATTCTTAACCGATGCATCGGGGGGGGGGGGGGGGGGGGGGGGGGTTACTCCCTATAATGACCTATACAGGGAGGGTCCACCCAAAAGGGGTACCTTTTTTAGGCTTCAATGAAAAGGTAGGCATTTTACTACTGTAGTTGAAGTATAATGAAAGGATAGAGAAATCTGTCATTTTGGTCTGTAAAAATACCCAATAGAGCTAACAGATGCATTCTGGTTTTGTGATTTATTCATATTTTAAAGACAGTGTATTTACAGCATGCTTTAAAAGGGACGCAAAGTTTCAAATTAGGTATGTCAAAGGGGTTCCATCTGCCAATAGAAGGTACACAGAAGGAGTATTTCTTCCGTCAAAGATGGTATATAATGTAAAAGGGTAAAGAGTTGGACCTCTGGGCAGAGCCTCCCTAAAAAAACTTTGTTCAGTACTTCCCCCTCCCACCCCCATGCAAGATAAATGATCTCTACTATGCTCTAAAAAGTGGAAATAAACACTGACAATTTTTCTAAGAAATTTTTGCACCCTATCTGTGGTTTATCATCGTGGGTGTGTGCTAAATCAACAATAAATTAATGAGGTTCACCATTCTGTAAAGCTTTCACCCACCCGCATATAGGGTGATTACTAGTAGCCATTTTTAGAGAAAAGTTCAATGCACAATCTTCTTACATTGTCTACTGCATCTTGATCGTGATGTTTGAGTTCTTCTTGTTCTTTGACCTCTGACTTCTTTGGTTTCAGCCAGCTCTGACGAGTAGCTTCTCTTTTATCATTGTCATCCTCATCATCTTCCTCGGCCCACCAAGGCATTTGATCTCCAACTGGCTTTGTCTTCAAATCAGGAGTCTTTATCCGTGGAGAGCCCATTGATGACTCATCTGACATGGACTGCGAGGATGAATTGAAAAACAATATAGATTAGTTTAAATTGAAGGGAATGTAAAGATTTCAAGTGCATGCAGCATCTCTAACATTGGGGTATGTAAATTCAGTACTGCCAAAAAGTAAGTTCACAAGCACTCGAGTGACTCCAATCCTCAAGAATTGAATCTTGATCCTCAAACTTTCGAGGATCGAGACTTGAGTTTTGAGTCCAAAGTTTTGAGTCAATGTCCCTTGACTAATCTCTTGAGGAACAAATTCATCAAATAGATTGCACTCCGTTTGCTGTTTTAAAGGATAATTGTGAAGTACACCCTGCGCAAATGGCTTTTGCAGTGCATAATTATTATCTTCTCAATTATCACCTTGCTTATCACTTCCAGTTGAGACTGTCAATTTAATTTTGAGTGGTACTGTATAATGTGGCAGGATCATCAAACTGCACAAAGACTTTCGGGGAATCACCATGTAATTTTTAAGCATTTTGCCTATGTCAAAGCTTGCTTCTATTCAATTGACATTTTGTAGGACCCCATACGTCCCACACACATGGTTCCCTTTCTTAAAACCGTCAGCAAATCTTGATATGGCCAGGTGTGACAAGGGATGCACAAAATAATATGATGGCAGATAGCCATAAAATAATACAATGATTTCGGAGCAGCTAATGCAACACTTGCAAACCCTAGATGGAGAGCGAAAGTGAAGTGAAAGTGAAGACTATTTTTACAACTTGAAGTCACAAAATGCGAGATAACAAAAAATTACAAATCATGTTTTACAGTCTTCTGGAGTTTTTATAGAATGACCCAATCATTACAAGATAAAGTGTCTTTCTTGTCATTTCCATGATACAGCTACATCATAAGTTATCAAACAATTGGGCTACTTATGTGGGGAAAAATAAGACGCATCTTATGAACTTCTTGTATAAATGGCACAAAAAAATGTGTTCCAGCTTAAATAAGATGCAACACAGCTATAAAGAGACTCCTTATATGCTTGTATTAATGGTACAGTTTATGTCTTACGAAAGCCTTATCAAAACACACTTTGCAAAGCATACATTTGTCTTTCTTAGCTACAAGAAGCAATGAAAATGTAAGCAAAATTACTACCCAGTGCAAAAATGAAAATCATGACCACTGAGTGACTTCCCCGCTTATTCCAGTCAGGGAGGTGAAGACCATGATTTCTAGCATATCCCCTGCTTTCTGGGGAGCAAGAATGGAGTGTGTTTTAAGTGAAAGGCCCCGCATTACCTCGGTCATCCCCGATGGAGGTGGGGGGGGGGGGTGGTCCAGGGGTTTCAAATGACTGGTCCTCAATATAAAGATACGATGAGAAACTACAAGTCTGACAGATCATAGAACTTTGGAAAGCAGCCTTATTTCAGGTTTAATTCCTCCAGAAAATATTAAGCTTAAATAAACTTACACCTTTTAATTGAAGTTAAGCTTACATGTAAAGTTTGCTTACCTCATTTAGAAACTTTTCAAATTCGGCGTCCAAATCGATATCCTTCTTTTTAAAGCGATCTCGCAAATTTTCCCACCGATCCGACATATCTGAACCTGAAGTTGATCTTGCCTTTTTCAATGTTCGAAACACGTTATGCAAAGAGAACACTATGCGATCTGTACCACACCAACATCTGCCGCCATCTTTTCAAAGTGAGATATGTCAACAGCTTCGTAACCAAGCCAGCAATTTAACCGCAGGATTGCCAGGGTGCGTCTTCGCGCGTCGACAGTCCGTTACTTCTTTAGTTCCGTTACGGACCCGTTACGTTATTCCCCGGGTATATCACAAACCAATGGAATCCCGGTTATCCTGAATTATTTATACTTTATTTTCAGTCGCAACTGCATGACTTGTATCTTTAACTGTGATGATCTTCTCTCTATTTATATCTTCATTCCGCGGTTCAACCTTTGATAAAGACAGTCAAAGTTTTATTTCCTATTGGAAGGGGAAACTGTTGTATTGTGGATAACTATTTTATTCTTTTTACCCCAGTCACAGACTGGCTCGTTTGTCATCGGGCCCTTTCTTTCGGAGTACTTTTATAAAGAGCGGGGTGAATAGGCCAACCGATCGGCGGATTTTGAATTTTTTTGCCCAGGTTTCGGATTCAAAGCGATATTTTAGCGGATTTCCGGATACTGCAATTGCAGCGGACTGCGGATTCATCCATTTTTTGGGCCCGGATTTTAGAATTTTCATATAATAAAAATATTTTTGCCCGGATTTCGGATTCAGGGCAAAATTTTAATGGCGGATTTGGTTACTAAATATAACGGATCGGCGGATTTGCATCGGCTCACTCCCCTCTATAAATAATTGTTTTCGACATCAATTTCTACTGTATTCTAATGTGCTTTTTTTCCATTATTGATTTATTATTTAGGATTTCTGTTTTGTTTGAGATATTTTGCTTCAGATATTTGAGGACAACGATACCATAATTTTATATACCTACCACTTAACAACATTCGGCACAAAGTGAAAGCACAGCAGTCAAAGGAGTCGTAAAAGGTTATTTTTTCCTTTGTTGCGCAGCTAATGCATTTCCGAAGAAAGACATTTATCTTGTAATTTTGAACGAGGAGAGGACTTCCTACAATGAGTAAAAAATATTAGGCCCTTATTTAATGAATCTCACTTGGAATCACATTAGGTGATAAATAACCTATACTGAAGAAACGAGCCGACTGAAACAAGCTTGTTGGAGAGAAAAGCAATAACCTCAGCCGATTCTGATTGTCAGAATTTATGCCTGAAGCTATCCCAAAGCTTTTGATAGGGCTATTAATTTTTTTTCATGAAATAAATGCGCTAATTACTTGAGAAGAGTAATACATTCTACGTAATAGCACTCTGCATTACAAGGCAATGATTACCGACAGTCGGAAGTGAAATTTATGGATTACCCCAGGATTCGAGAGAAGCTCATTGAACATTTAACTGAACAGTAATTCACGCCAATTAGTTGTGCCATACATAAAAAGAAAACAAATCTGAGTTTTGATGGCCTCTTAAATTTAACACCATTCCGACTATAAAGATAAACAGTATATTGATTTCATGATTTTGGAAACATGTGTGCTGTTAATTGTCATTTCGCCTGAATATTGAACATTTTGATAAGTGATCTAGGCAGTTTAATCTCTTAAATTCCTTTCCTCCCAAGTTGCTGAAAATATATCTTTCTTTCTGAGCTGACCAAACTTTATCCACTTTAATTCTAATATTCATTCGAATTGTTCATTTTTTTGTAACTTTGTCAAGATTTTATTCAGTTTTCGTCGATCGTGTGTCCTGTCATTGTTTTTGAGCGCATCGTACAAGAACAATGACAGTAGCGGTGATTAACACCTTTAAACTTCAATAAACCATTTACACGATGGCGTCATTTAAATACAACGACCGGAGTCCATTTCTTTGTTTGAGGAGTGATATTTCAATTTCGTAATCCCAGAGAAGTTTAAATGATAAAAGCTTATATTTGCACAAGAAAGCAAAACTCTGGATGATGCTCAGGTGAAGTAGTAAAATGACGTCATCTTGCAAATGGCCTATAGTGCACTAATTTTAAAAACAGTACTGGAGATTTAACGAGCGTCCTCTGAAGTTTAAATTGAATAAAAAACTACTCAGCCAGATGTTAAATTTCCATCATTTACTGAGCCTTTAAAGGGAAATGTGCATGATCCAAAAGGACACTTACCTAATGATTCATTTCATTGCAAATAAAAGTAGTATCATCGAAGACCGAGCTGACACAGAGAAATTTACAGAATCAACGCAAACTGCAAAGTCAACTGCGGCACTTCGACAAACGCTGACTGAAGAGCAAACTTCTCATTACCCCGCGGTTTTCTGTCACCCCCATCCTTGTAGGTAGGTTTAAATTTTAAAACATATCTATAAGTATATCAGGGTTATGCATAACAAAAAAACACCGCATCAAAATCAAGTGGCAACTCTCTACCCGATAACTGAAGAACTGGCATCCAGTGCGGTAAAGGGCATGTTTTTGTTTAATCAGTTAACTGATTGCTCTTGATAGTTAAGTTTAGTTGTCACCGTACATATGCTCTAGGCCTTGAACACAAAATATTTAGTTGATGCAGTCTCGATCAGTGTCAAGAAAACGACGTTATTTATTCTAGGCGATGAAGTCATTTTATGTCATAGTTAGATAGTGACCGTTTTTCTATGGTCGCTCAGTCTTGGAAGGTGGTAGATTATTTGCACGATGACGTGTTGTTACTACTAGGACCAGAATTCACTTAGTTTTTTTTTCTTTTTTTCTTAAAATTGGTAATTCCAGTAATAACAAATTAATGATCCCAAATTTGCAAAAGAAAAAAAAAACCCCTGAAGGATTCTGGTGGAAGTAGTAGTAGTGGTAGTAGTCGTAGTCTAGTAGGGCTTTTCGTAGTACTAGTAGTAGTAGTAGCAGCGGCATCAACAGCAGTAGTAGTAGCAGTAGTAATAAAATGACTACAAGAGTAGTTAATAGCCTATTGTCTCCTTTTCAGTCATTCATTTGTTCATTTATTTTTTTAGATTATCGGAAATTTATCTTATCAATGCGTTTAATCCTACAGTCACGGCAAGGATGAAAATTTCAAACATCTCTGATTATGGGAATATTTCCTCCTCGCCAAAAACCACAAGCCATCCACCAACAGGTTTAACAACCGCCTCACAAACAATCAACATACTTCTGGCAACCGTAGCCATTATAGGAAACACACTGGTGATTTTAGTGTTCATTCAAGACAAGAAGCTACTAAGGAAATCCTATAACATTTTGATCCTTTCTCTGGCCCTAGCTGATGTGCTGACCGCCGTAACCTTGATCACAAACCCAGCTTTGGTTCTTGGTGACGCGTTCCCCTATCCAAGTAATCCATTTTGGGGGGACATTTTTTGCCGAGTGATCTGGAGCCGATCATTTCTCTTCCAGCTTGTAGTATTCTCTGCGTACATCTGCTTGGCGTTAATGACGGAGCGATGGTACGCTGTGATCAGACCACTCAAATATAGTGACACTTTCAACAAGAAGCGAACTCTCATTTACATCTTGGTTGTTTGGCTATGGTCACTAATTCTCTGTTGTTCCACTCTATTCGAAATAGAATACGTTTCATCTTATCCACCAACTCGACCCTGCAGATGGCTGTTGCTTTGGGGAAAACAACGCGCATT